GGKYMAMMMAWKSCCCMMCCCMMMAAAAAAGTCCCCCACCCAAGCCACTACAATTTCGGGATGCACCTAGTAGCATGATTTTTATGAGGAATAAAGTCTTCTGAGTTCTGGTGCATTTGTGCGTGCGGGGGTCATTATGTTACCGCTATGCAGTATCTAGTTAAATAAAGTCTAATGTTACAACTAATCATGGATCCCTTTAATAAATTAACTGTTCCATGACGTTGACAGCTCATTTAAATCAGTTGCAATAAAAGTGCAACCAAGAACCTTTTCTGGCTTTAAATACTACTGAAACTCACAGTTTCAGGGTGAAGGCACAGCATTACAGAAAAAACATGAACATTCAAAACAAAACAACCAAACTAATCTGCTACCTTCCACCAGACGGATGACGGCCCCCGCTTTGAGGCCCTTGAGGCTTTGCAGATCAGCATGGGGATCCAGAGCTGCACCAGCTATGGTTAATGCCAGGCTTGAGCGTGGACACACCTCGTTCCTCGAAAGCAGAGTCATTAGTGCATCTTGAACATGCCAAAAACCATGGACCTGTAAAAGTCACAACAAGGACTACCCTCATGCTGATCTTAGGCACTTAAAGAAAACTGAGATATCAGCTGAGGGGGCGAGAAATAGCCTTTTTGTTGGTGTTTGGTTTYGTACCTGCAGCTCAAACGGCTCCACGCCTGCTCCCTGGATCTTCACAGGAAACGATGTGCTTTCATCCTGCTTAACGTCCACAGCATCGTCTCCACCCGGCACGACAACTGCCTCTGTGAGGGAGATATCAGACAAACCGATTTCAGAATAATTACAGAGATATGTGAAAGATGAGCAGATATGTTTTCTGCTCATTGCCTGTTACATCCCTGAATAGTTTCCAGCTCAATGTGACCCTGAAAAYGTCTGGATAACTGAACCAAAGAATATACAAAGTATTGTATAAACATGACACAATATGCACAAAATTCTTTTCTTTTTTTTATTTAATTTTTTTTTGATGAATCCAAGCTCTTCTAAAACCTTTTGAGATCACTCAAGGTTTTGTCTGTGGAAGTGCCTCAGGGGGGATCCTTTAAAAAAAAGTGGGGGAAAAAAATTCTAAGAAAATGAAAGTGGGGTGTGGCATCTGTTTTACACACACTGGAGGACGAGCAGGACTCAGCGTGTTCCACAAACTGCAGTGTGACTAACTAAACCTGTTGAATTTGCCTACTGGCCTTCTTGTCATCTCCAGGTGAAAGGACGACCGCACNCAACAGATCGTTGACTAATTGGCCCAAAGTTTACTTAAAGTTGTGTGCACAATATGCCACAGCTTTGAACAAGTGACACTGACTTCATTCTGTGGATCCTCGGTTCATGTTGTCAGTCTGGGAATATTGTTTTTTTTTTTTTGGAAAGCACCCAAAAAACTAGCTGTTTGCTATTGGCTGCAAGAACGCCCCTCCTCTTTGGAGGACAGAAGCCATCACTTGTTCTCWACTGGAGTTGCCTTTTTATTACCACAGAAAACAATACACCTATTTAACTAACACTTTAATAGTCTAAAAAAATCAGTAATTTATATCTGCCAGACTGGCGTTTAGTTGAATTTATGTGCCTTAGTGGCAGGCTGCTAGTCCCGAAGCACCTAAAATCTCTTTTAAATTTGTTTCTTTATTGGTTGATTTCCCGATTAATGCTTATTCTGTTAAGACTCTTTGATTCATAGGTCAGAATTAAAAGGCTGGATGGAACAAAGAGAATATGAGTGCAAAAATGTAATTAAAACTTTCAAAAATCCCGCAGATTTATTGTTCAAGGCTACAATAAAGCACAAAAAATGAAAAGAGAATCAAGATTTTTCTCAGTTATGCTGCAATAAAAGAGATAATTTTAATCTTCAGGACATCATGGCCCCATATTTTCTTTTTTTTAATGGTGGAAACAAAATGAAACCCAAGTTATTCTAAGCTGGAGATGAGCCAACACACACTACACCTTAATTCTGTCAATCAGTTTTGCAGAGGGGGAGTGGTACATTGGAAGAAAGTTAAACAAATTCACAGCAGAGAGGGACTTATCATTTTTAGCATTACAAAACTACTTTTTGAATGTAAAAAAGTGTAATAACTATGTAGTTACATTGTTTTTGAGGGTTTTAGGCATAATGAGGCACATGTCTGTATATAGAAACAGTTTATAAAAGTTACAGAACGCTCAACAGATTCTCCAAGAGTTTGGAAAGTTAACACCAGCCATGTTAGAGCAGCAGACCCATGCCAAATATCCCACCCTCCTTCTACACATTCTTCAGTGAGGGAAGAAGCCACCAGAACAGGAAGAAATGGAGGAGGAAAGCACTTGATTACGAGGATTACTCACCAGTTTTCACTTGATTTCTTCCTCCTCCTCTCCTCACTTTGTCCTTCATGGCTGTGTGTTTAGTTCTTCTGTTCTTTCTTTACAAAGGTTTGCCTCAAACTGCTGGAGCAGGGCCTAAAACCAGGGGTGGACGTGTGCAGCTGGATTGTTTAAAGGCCCAAAAGAGAGGAAAAAGTAAACGACTGGCTGACTGTTCAGGATTGTGACTCCTGCCCCTCTTTACAAGGCAAACTTATCTGTTCTCGACTGTGCAAAAAAAATAAAGCCACACCCTCTCATTGCTCCACACAGACCGCCTCAGAAACTTTGTTGGACTGGGTGTGTCTTTGTTGTAAGCTTCACTCACTGCTCTCTTCCTCCCCCATTCATGTTTCACTCCTCCTACCCTGTAAAGCCTTTAAAACAGAAGCAAGAAGCAGTATTTTGATGCCAGTTAACAAGCTGCACTGCTTTTAGGGTTATGCATTTTATTCTACAAATGTGGAGCTTCATTTGCAGAGCAGGATGCAGCTGTTTGACAGCACATTTCATTCTATTCCAAAAGGAAACCTATGATTTTTTTAATTGTTAATGCAGCTTGTGCATTTTTTTTTTTTACTAATAGAGGTAAAGTCAGAGTTTGCAGAAAAACTACAACCATAAGATAGTTCAACTTCCACAAATGGGTGTGTTCAACACATACCTGAGGATACTTMCGTTCAAACAATGAGGATTTCTCAGGTCAAAGAGGTGGTTGGTTGGCATAACTGGAATGTAGTTAAGTAAACTTGGATGAGCATTAGATCCAAATTCAGTTGAAAGACAGGAAAGTCAAGCAGGGATTACCTTTCTGAGAGTATCGGTGAGCATAAAACACACAGCCTTTGAATGTAAATGTTGTATTTTCTATCATTTGTCCCATGCAAATTGTGTTACAGCACATTATAAACTGATCACGTTCACTTTTATCACTTTTTCATGACGTCAGATTTTTATTTGTGGGAGGTGGTCTAGTGTTGTGAGTTCAATGTTGCCTTCACGTTTTTCCAGTGCTTTTAAATTTTTTAAAGTAATCTTTTTTCTCTGACAGTGTATTGACATTTATTTCGAATATCCTTTTGATTTCGTAATTTATTACTAGAAATAGCCAATTTTTTGATGGTCTTGGCTTTACAGAAAACGATTTTGTTAAATCAATCCATTATTTGCACGTTAGAGTTACTGTACCTGTTTGTTATCTGATCGTCTTTTTTCCGAGTTTACTTGAATCTGTCTTGGCAGCATTTGAGGAGGCTGTCCTTGGGTAGCAATGCTAGCTAAAGCTAGCTAAAACAACGAGTATAAACCATTCGTTTAAGTCAATGGGAAGTCGTCGGTAAGTTTGTTTTGACAGCTGTTTATTAATGGTGATATGAGGTAAAAATATCCACGGACTAAAAAAATAAATAAATTAAAAACTAATTACTTAGCCCCAGTGTCCCGGTCCAGCTACTGTATCACTCAGCTAGCATGATCAAAACATCGTTGATTCACTGATGCAGTTTGTTGTGCTGTTTATTTTTTATTTGTTTATTTTATTTTGTGTGTGTGTGTGTTTCGTTCGTTTTGACACCTCAACAAAACGTAAYCATAAAAATAGTTACTCTCCATCACATGGTAAGCATTTTTTACAAGACTGGATAGTTTTAACATTATGTTGATGCTAGTTTCTGCCTCCTGTTTTTTTTCCCCTGGTCGGTGCAGATTCTGTGACTGCCACCCAGCCGTCGGGTAAAAGTGCCCAGGGTCGGGCTAATGTCATCCAGTCAGGTGGACAAGGGGGSTGTCTCTCAGGCTGCCCCAAACAACAACACCCTGGACCCGTTTGATAACCCCTGTCAAACTGCAGGGGTATGCAGCACACCTGAGGCACAGGTGAGGAGGGTTCCTGTGTCATTTTATGTTAATTATGTTGCTGATATTTGGACCTTTGGGGGCGGCTTGTTCCTTTTTGTTACCATTTGTAACATATGTATATTGGCTTTTCTACTTTGTTGTTTGGTGTTAATGTTAAAATAAGTCACACCATTTGTTGTCACCACAAGACTTACACTCAGGAAGATATATGATCCTAGTAAGCCTCATTGTATTTGACACAGTTTTATTTATAGTTCACATTATCAGGCTGATGGACATGACTTTTTGTATTTGACAACACAGATGCTGTTTTCTGTGTGTGCTTTTACAAGAGCTTGTTTTTGAAAGTGATGAGGTTATTAAAGGACAGTTATTTTTATTGTGGTGATGTGTATTTTAATCAGATACAAAAAAGTCATTGGAAGCTCCACCTGTCAGTGGAAAGAGAGGATATTTTTACGTGCCGTAAAATTGCATCAGACATTTTTATTCGATACAATGTTATTTAGAGGTACAGTTTTTTATTGTGTTGTTTTTGTTTTTTGTTGTTGTTTGTAAACCACCTTGGGATTTTCATCTGTAAAAATACAGTATAAATAAACTTCACATACTTATTTATCATGTAACAGGAAATATCTTAAAGTGGTAGCTGTTTTTGTCCAAACTCATTCCGGACAAAAACAGCACTATTTTTAAGAGATAATTTCATCCATCTAAAATCAAATTTGCAAACTTAAATGTTTAGTAAAAATAAATTCTGGATCAATAGTTTTAGACTTTACTTTCTAGTTTTGCTTTTTCTTTAAATACAACAAACACTGTAAAGTATCAAGCTCTAATTAACACTAAGCTGCTTTGACTTGATTTACTGGGATTATAACAGGAAGTGTCCCATCAATGTCAGCCAGAGCGTACGTAATAACCACAATACAAAAGTATTAAACTGTTTATTGCCATATGGCATTTGAGCACAGGTTATTTTTCTTTAGCCTATGATAGTTATTGTTGGATGATTTTGTTTGTCTTAAATTAAAACTGACCGTTTAAAAAAAGAGTTAGTTGATTTTAAGTTGTGAATAAATGTTGCCTTGTAATGTAGCTCTGTTGAAATCCAGCCCCCTGTAAATCTTATGAATAGGTGAAAACTACAAAGTGTTTGTTTTTGCTCAAGTCTTCTAGTCTAAAAATAGCTTTAGGGTTTTTTGTTTACTGCCTCATGAAGGGATAAAATAGAAATGATGAGCTTGCATCTGGGGTAGCTGTAGACAATTTTGACACTTGGTAAACTTTTGGATTTAGCGAGCAGTTCATGAAAGACAACAAACTCAACATGTGACTAAAGCTGCTGCCTTTCACCTTGATGAAGTTTCACATTATATTCTCGAGAACTGCTTTGTCTTACACGAGTTGCCAGCATGATAGGTATTTGCTCTGTGAGTCGTTTCCACAGAAGTTAGCAAGGTTCAATTCCTATGAAAAGCATTTTCCTGCTTATTCTCAGTCTTATTGAAAGTATGTACACCGTTTGGCATAGCTGATTTGGCAGTTGTGTCCTCAGGGTGGGTACTGTGCCAAACGGAGGCAGGCTCTTCCTTTCAGCATGCTAAAACAGAAGCCGTATTACTGGTTGCATTGTTTGTCGACTTCAAAAAAAAAAAATCAGGGGAAATTGTTTAGCTACAAAGTATTTTAGTGTCAACAGAAGAGATGAGACAAAGCTTGTGGAGGAGAAAACTGGGCTTTGTTTGTCTTCCTAACAAGAGGCCTGGTATTTTTTTTTCACAACTGTCCTTAGCTTTGTTTGCTGGGTAGGATTTTAGTAGGACACAGAAATTGTTCAGCTACTGTCCTCCTTTAAGCAACTGCAGAGTTAATCATTGATCTGCTTTTGAGCAGGAAAACATGGACAAAGTGATCATTTATTTTTAACTCTTATCTGATGAGCGTGGCTTGGATGAGGAGGACTCATTGATTTCAGATGCTGATCATGTTGCCGTCTTGTTTTTTCTCTCCCTCAGGTTTTGCCTGTGTCGGGTGAGGCRTCTCCTTCTTCCACATTCTCTTTTGAGATGGTTGACATGGAATCAGTTCCACCTCCGTACCAAGAAGTGCAACCTCACTGGTTCTTCTGTCGTCGAGCTGATGACAACACCTTCTGGATTCCTTTCAGCAGAGAGGACTCTGACAAGCTAGAGAATGCTTTGAACTCTGGTAAGAATGAACAAGTACATCAGATGTACGTTTCATAGTTTGCTTGCACAATCATCACGGTCATTACTCCTGCTGGAGGGTTATTTTAAAAAACTAGAAAAATGCTTGTATTCTGTAAACAACTCTTGGAATTTCTTTAAACAACATTTGCAATCCTGAAAGTCAGCATGCACGCCTCCCCCACCCCCTTAGGGGATTTAACGGTACCTGTCAGAACCTGATCCTGTCAGGTGAACTTCAGTTTCAGTGTGGTCCTTTACGAATCCCACTGCAACTGCTAGTTAAATTTTTAACACACTGGACTTTGTATTATTTATTGTAACAATTATCAATGTTTTTTGTTGAAACTGATTGCCTTTAAGACCTGAAAGCTTATCTTTTTAAAGAGTGCGTCAATAACAAAACCCAAACAAGGAATGACCCTTGAGTGGGCTGACTCAGTGGTTTTCAGCTGTATTAGTGTCTGAGACACCATACCTTCAAGAAACCTGCTGTTTTAAAGTTTGTGTTCATAACAAATCAGATGGCATCTCTCTGGTGATATCTGGTGAATTCAGGAATTTTAAGATAAATAATTTGCCAAATCATAAGACAGTTTTCCATTTCAGTTAGTTTAGTTCACCCTGTATAACTTCAGTCCAAAGATCTCAGGAAAATTTTGTGTATTTTTGTCCTTTTGTTGCTCAGTTTTATTTAACACTTGTAGAATAACTTAACATGTTTATTAATGGTAGKTTTTAGAAAAGTGAGTCAAAACTGTCATTTCCACTTTAAGAACTTTATCTGTTTTTAATGTAGTACAGCATATTCAACTTTGTCCTTTGTGCTCCTGTCTCTGGAATATATTATTCATTTAATGACTGCACATGGTGAAATCCACATTTTTTTATTTTATTTTTTTTATTTTTCTGTGAAATCTGCATTGTGAAATTCTTCACTCAAACCACACACAGTTTTTCTCCAGTGTTGTTCCAACGCCGAGGACAGATGCCAAGATCTTTTTTTTTTGTTGTATTTTTATTCAGTCATTGCACACATTTTGAAATATTTTATTGCCTGATTGAAACTTTTTAATTTGTGATGCTGGAATAAAGTCAGGTCAAAGTTTATTTCTGTTGCACATTGGTCAACGTTTTTTCAACAAGTGCTATAAAAAGTATAAAATATAAATCATTGTAACTAATAACAAAAACAAAAAAACTAACAATGCATTTACAGAGTAGTTTGTACATCACTTCATACATGACAAGAWCACCAAAGTACTTATTTTTCCTTATAGGCTTTTAGATGTGAGAATTGGACAACTAATCTTTTTTTTCTATTTGTAGTAACAAATAAGGAGGATGTGGTGGTGGCTGTKGATGGGGAACGATATGATGTACATGTTAAGGAGAGGAAGCGTTACKCTGTGTATTGGGAGCAGGCTCCCACTGAGGTCCGCCGCTGCACCTGGTTCTACAAAGGTGATAAAGACACCAGATTCATGCCTTACCCCGAGGATTTCAGCACCAGTCTGGAGGTAGTCTCCCACTGATACTTGGCTTTAATATCACATTGCTTCTTTCTTTAGATTACGACTTTCCTTTTTAAATTCACCTGTTTCATTAAGACTTTTAATGCATGTTATTGCTTCTCACCCAACACTCTCATCTTTCAGGAAGCCTACATGATAGCTGTGACTTTGGATGAATGGAAACGGAAACTAGACTTTCCCACCGGTGAGACTGTCATCTTACACAATCCTAAGGTGAGGTGTGATAATAAAACTTTGAGCATGACTGATTTGGGGGGAAAATAATTACTTAGGTCATGTCTCATATTCATCTGGTCCTTCCTCAGCTGATAATGCAGTATCAGCCAATTGGACTGCAGGATGACTGGGTTTCCTCCCCCTCAGAGCAAACACGACCTCGCACAGTCAAGAGGGGAGTTGATGACATCTCTGTAGAAATACCTGATGGTACAAGTGTTTTCACTTTTAAGATAATAATAGATAATTATATTAATTAAAAAATACCCAGAGTTAACAATCTCAGCTCATTGTGTAATTTTCTCTTCAGGTGAACCAGAGAATGTGGACCACCTTGTTTTTATGGTGCATGGCATTGGACCTGCCTGTGACTTGCGCTTCAGGTCTATTATACAGTGTGGTAAGTGTGTGAGTGCATTTATTAATATATATATGTGCAACTATGGGAATTAATGAGTCTTTTTGGTTGGTTGTCTTCAGTAAATGACTTCAGGAGTGCTTCATTGTCTCTCCTGGCCTCACATTACAAGTTGGCTCAGCAGGATGGCCAGGTGGGCAAAGTGGAGTTCCTCCCTGTTAACTGGCACAGTGCTCTGCATGGAGATGCTACTGGAGTGGATGAGTAAGTATGACGAGACGCAGAGCCAATATTTCTACTTTTGTCTCTATCAACTTTTAAAAATAAATCAACTCTCATGCCTTTTTTTTCCTTTCTCGTTTTTTTAAAATTATTTCTCACCCCACCAAATTTCAGGGACATACAGAGGATCACTCTACCCAGCATCAGTAGGTTGAGACATTTCACCAACGACACACTTTTGGACCTATTTTTCTACAACAGCCCCACCTACTGTCAGACCATAGTGGACACGGTGGCCTCAGAGATCAACCGGTTGCACGCCCTCTTTAAGCAGCGACACCCAGAGTTCAATGGGGCGGTTTCTGTGGCAGGACACAGCCTGGGTGAGAGTTGTACAAACTCAGAAGCACACACATTCATGTCAGGAGAACATTAACATGCAGAGTTTAGATGCTTCTGTTTTGCGTCTTGTTGCTCAGGTTCTTTGATCCTGTTTGACCTGTTAACCAATCAGAGGAATGCATCCCGATCAAGAGAGGGGGTACAAACTGACATTAACACAGCTTTAGTGCCTGTTTTTTTATATTTAGAAAATTCCTAATTCTGCACTTCTTTATGGATTAGGCACCTTCTGGAGRTTCTAGAATGAACAGTGACACATTGGAGCAGACACTGACCAGACTGGGTCTTCACCAATACCTGAGTACGCTGCAGGCAGAAAACCTTGACCTGGAATCTCTGGTATCACATTCACAACCTATAATTGTATCCAAATAAAAACTTTTCTCCTGTATAGTTTAAATTGAAGGGTTAAGAAATCAGGGTTTTGTATACAGGACATTTTATGAAAAATGTTTTTTTCCCCCCACTTTTAGGCTCTCTGCCAAGACAGTGATCTTCGAGATATAGGAATCCCGCTTGGACCTCGGAAGAAGATCTTGAAYTACATCAAGAGAAAGTGGCTTCCTGAGGTCAGCCTTAAAGTGCCTGTGACATGAATTTTTTGTAATAAATATGAATGTAATTTTGGAAAGATAACACTAATAAGATATTGTAAAAAGATTTCACGCCCCTGAGATGAACAGTTGTTGAGATATCTGCATGTGAAGTAACAGGAAGTGATGCCAAAGTGGAGCAGTGCCACAACGGCCAACAACACAGACTGTAGAAAAGAATCTGATGTTTCTTTAAATTATTTTAATCACTATCATGGAGAGATGAGAGAGTCATATTTCAAATATTGTTTCAATAACAAAAACCAGGACTTTCTTTCTTAAAGAGTTCCCCTTTGATGTCACTTCCTGTTTCACTTTAGCTGAGACAATTTCAAAAGAAATAATGCCAATTATGTGACATAACGTGTAAAATCATTTGTATTGTGCCAATATATTTTCTTTGACTTGTATTTCATGGATATGGATGTCACAGGCACTTTAACTTGAACTATTTGTAGTTAAGTTGTAATTTTTTTAGCCCAAAACTATGATTATTCTCCTCTTATTATAAGCAGCAATTTATTTGATAAAGTTGCTTATGTTTCAGGCTTTCTTTCAAAATGTTAATGTAAAACGTAATTTCAACAGTCTTTAAATAACTTTCCATGTGTTTATCTAAACAGGACTGTAAGGTATCTGCAGCACATCAAGGACAGGAATCTCAAGTTCCACCGAATGTGACCAGTGGTGGTAACCAGTCTTCAGAATCGACATTCCCGCAGTCGCACTTCCACAGAGCGCAGTCCGTCACCAGTGCAGTGGACTATGAATACTTCGATGTCGGCATCGGACAGGTAATCCACACTAACAAAAATACAATATGATGATTTAAGTTTGGGAGGTGAAGCTTTGGTGCGTCACTGTTCCTGCTTCTCCACTCCCTCTGCTTGCCTGGACAGACCAATGGAGGCATAGCCAAGGGACAGGTGTGTCTCACGTGGTGTCCACTCCCTCTCAGGCCTTGTCCTTTTCACTTTGACCTGAGTTTGTCTTTGCATTCAGTGCAGTCTGATCTCTTGGCAACTGAAATGAAGCAACAGCTTTCTGAACAGAACACGTTTCAAGGCTTCCTCATATTCTGTCTTGGTTAAACTAAGATATACAACTTAAAGTCACACTCTGTAACCGTCTTCATACATTTGTATCTGTCCTGCATGGGTTGTCATCTCCTCATTGTCTTCCTTACTTATCTCTTGAGGTGACAGGAGTCCATCTGTCTTAATGGATGTACATGTTTTCTGTGTGTGCATAAACATACAGCGATTTTAGTCACACTTTAACAAATACAGAAGCACACATTTCTAATTATTACTGTCTATTTTCTCTCCACAGGTATCTATTGATTACCCTCAGCTAGCATTCCACCCTCAGACATTTTTTGCTTTTGGCTCTCCTATTGGAATGTTTCTGACTGTACGTGGACTGAAACGCATCGATCCAAACTACTCCTTCCCAACTTGCAAAAGCTTTTACAACATCTACCACCCAGTGAGTAATTACTTAACGTTACTTAACATCTGTCGGTTCATGTGGACCTTTCTTAATACTACTTGCTTTATATTCAAAACAATATTGTTTCAAAATGTTATTTGTTATTGCTTTAACCCCTGTTTAGTATGACCCTGTTGCTTATCGGATAGAGCCAATGATTGTTTCAGAAGTGGATGTGGAGCCAATGCTAATACCTCACCACAAAGGCCGAAAGAGGATGCATCTGGGTATAATTGTTTTCTTTGATTGTTTTTGTGCAGTAATACTCTTATAGGATATTTAATTAACTATTATCTTTTTTTCCCCATGTAGAAATAAAAGACAGCTTCACCAGGATGAGTATGGATTTGAAGAACAATGTGCTGGGGTCCTTACGGACAGCRTGGCTGTCCTTTACTAGGCTACCAGTTGCTGCACTGCCGCCAGTGGAGGAAGGTGGAACTACAAATGAGACAAACGCTCRGAGTCAGGAAGCACAAGGTAGGAAAGGTCTTTATTTTCTGTATTTATYTGTTGATTTTTGGGTGGTGTTTGTTTGTTTGGGAGAACGTGCTCAGGAGGGAGTCTAACCCAGTTTCCTTACATTCATGTTATTCTTCTCACCTCTCCTGCATGTTGCTACCTCCCACTTCCTGTCTGGTCTTTCTTACTGCATCCCTCACCTCTTACCAATTTACCTTGAACTGTAGCCTCAGCAGCTGGTGCTGCTTCTGCTAAGAGAGAGGACAAAAGTGCTGATATTTGGACTAAAATACTGGAGTGGCSAAAGGCCCTTGAAAATCATTACTTAAAAGGTAAGCAAGGATAAAGATTAGACTGGAATGAATTAAGAAAATTAGTAAAATAAGTAATTTAACAGTAATTATAGTTTAATAACTCAGTTTATTCAAAGTAATCTCGGTGAACCCACACAGATTTAGTGAAAATCTTATGAGTTAATTGTTCTTTATCTTTTAGTTTCATACGTTTATTTGCACCCTCACCTTGGAAATAAACTTATTTCAATCAGACATGCACAAAAAAAGGAAATACTACAACTATGCCTTTTCATAAGAAAAAAGGTGTTAATCTACAATAGGTTACTTTGACAGGTTCTCAGAGAGAAAATATTCTGCAATGTGTGTCATTCCTGCCACAGGCTCTCACTGTCTGTTCCACTTTTCCCCCATGCCTGACATCATTACCACCTGCTGAATGTTTTAATCCTTTCAACTGTACGTTTGATTTACTGACACCACCCTCAGGCCTCTTCCTCCCTGTCCTGCTGTAAGTTCTGATTGGCTGAACGCTCCACTGATCATCAACATACCATAAAACACTTGGGTATGTGGCCCAAGGCACATTTTTGTTTGAGCTGAGCAAAAAAAAAAACTCCAGCGGGATAGCTGTAGAGGCCATTGTAAGTTAACATGAGTAATTTACCTGTGGGCAAAACTTAATGTCATGTATTTAATAAAAAAATATCACTTATCATATCTGCATGTTGGTGCGTATCCTGTAATGATATTACAAAACCTGTCATCTCAATAAATTTCTTGAGGGGTACAAAGTTCTGAGAAAATATTGTTCAACATGTGACACATGACAACTGGGTTGTTCCTTTTTTACTCCTCTTTTCACTCTGTCTCTTAAAGAAGACTTAATGTTCTATTTTACAAATGTTACATAATACTTAAATTTGAATCCATGACTTTTATTTATTACTGTATGATTTTATGCATCTAAAATACACCAGAGTCTTTTCACAATATAAAGTCCAGTTGTTTTGTTTTATAACTTTACAGTGGGTGCAGAAAGTATCCAGACCCCTTTAAAATTTTCACTCTGTTTCACAGCAGCCATTTGCTAAAATCAAAAGTTCATTTTATTTCTCATTAATGTGCACTCGGCACCCCATCTTTACAATAAATAAATAAATAAACAAAAAACAAAAACAGAAATGTAGAAATTTTTGCAAATTTATTAAAAAAAAGAAAAACTGAAATATCACATGGTCTTAAGTATTCAAACCCTTTGCTGCGACACTCATATTAAATTCACACACTGTCCATTTCCTTCTGATCCTCCTTGAGATGGTTGTATTCCTTCCTTAGAGTCCAGCTGTGTTTAATTAAACTGAKTGGACTTGATTAGGAAAGGCACACACCTGTCTATATAAGACCTCACAGTGCATGTCAGAGCAAATGAGAATCATGAGGTCAAGAACTGCCCAAGGACCAGAACTGTGGCAAGTCCCAGCTTCTACTCAATACTGAGCAAATGGGCTGAATACTTATGACCTTGYGATATTTCAGTTTTTTTAAATTCATTTGCAAAAATGTCTACATTTCTGTTATTTTTCTGTGAAGATGGGGAGCTGAGTGTACATTAATGAGACATAAAATGTTTTTTTTATTTTATCAAATGGCTGCAATGAAACAAAAAGTGAAAAATTGAAAGGGGTCTGAATTCTTTCTGTAYCCACTGTATTTGAATTGATCATGACCTGGATGACTGAGAATCTTCAGCATCAGAGTCTATTACAGAGGACTCTTTTAGTATTTTTTAAACACAYACATTTTAAAACTTTCCCAGATGATAGATAATTTTTTACACATTTCGTGCAACTTTTAACGTCAAGTCCACATTTGATTATTTACAATAATTACATATTTATTTTTTCAGACTAACTTAAAATTTATTTTCTGGTTTCTTATGAATGATTACTAAAATTGGAATTTCATTAACCAGGGATTGTTTGTATGATTCTTTTAAAAATAATTTTTTTTGAATGTAGCATTGTTTTAACACAYTTTTAGGACCGACTGTTTCTGTTCATGTTTATAACAACACTAGCATAGGAAAATTACAATACAGTTATTAAGCTTATCCTAAAATAATTGGTTTGTTTCCCAGCAGAGATTTGAACTTGATTTGAATGTTAAATATTTGAAATAGCAGCCATTGCCCTCTTTGTTCCTGTTCTTGATTGTAGTTATTTTTTCACAGAATGCCTGGTGCTGGTCATAGTTTTTATTTGCTGCCTAAAACAGCCTCTTTTGTAATTGATTTTAGCTCCAGCAGCAGAAGTGGAGGCTGAGTCCTCAGTGTCAGCAGAGCAGATGGAGCAGCCTGAAATAAAAATGGGGATGCTGAACGGAGGACGACGGATCGACTACGTGCTTCAGGAAAAACCCATTGAGAGCTTCAACGAGTACTTGTTTGCCATCCAGTCTCATCTCTGCTACTGGTGAGTAATTCCTATTGGTGAGAGTGGACTACAAAGAAAGTACACTCTTCTACTTCTATTCCTTCAATTGTATGTAAGATTTTTAAATTTTCTTAACAAATTTTATACGTCTGTTAGGGAATCTGAGGACACAGCTCTGCTGCTGCTGAAGGAAATATACGACAAGCTTGGTGTGGCTTTGGAGCAGCCACAGCAGTGCTGAACTTGTATGAATGTAGATTTGCTTTCATGACATTGATCTGAAAATGAAGGACGTCTGAYAGAGCCAGAGATGGGACAATCTTCTCCTGAATGCCTTTCTGCCTGTGTGTCACTGACTGCCACAGTCCCTGCTCCTCTCACACAGGAAACATTTAGTGGAGGGACGGCTTTTTGCTGTTTCCGCTGTTTGGATGAAGTTTTGATAGTTTTTTAAGGTCCGATAACCCATAAACTCATAGCACTTTTTGGTGAGTTCTTTTGCTTTGATTTGCACTTTCACCTTCACTGAGCTAATGTTGGAATAAACAAAAGATTGTAATTACCAGGGAAAAAAAACACCTTCTGTGCTCATTAAAATTGAATGCACTGCATGTCACATTGAAATTATTTTCAGTTGGTATTTCCTTTGCATCTCAGGAAAGAAAAAGTTTAAAATTACAATCTGATCTTTAAAATTCAAATTATTTTAAGTGGATCTTTATAAAGAACTAGTTAAAGATTTTTTTGATTTTCTAATGAGGAAAATGAAGGTGGATGTTTTGTCTGTTACAAATTTCAATGAGGGCAGATTTATTTCTTCTCCTCTGGCACTGAAGCAACTTGATAACCAAAGCTGCCACTCACATTTGTGCAATAATATAATATTATATGTTTTTATCTTTTAATTTTACATAGTCCTTGGTGTTCACTTTGCCTTCTTATCCCAGCTTGATTTAATTATAATCTGTGTTCTGTTTGTCATATGTATCATAACTGAAGTAATTCTCTGAATGACTTGCTGAAGCAGAAATAAACAAATGCAGATTCATTAACAGGCAACAGGGTTGTCTGCACTATCCTGTGTGTAAAGTATGTAAACCAAGTTTATTAGTTTCTGTTTACAGTCCATAACTCCACTATATAAAATATTCTGAAACCGACTATGATTTAATGTGTAAATCCCTTTCTTTTATGTCATCTTGGGGTTACATCATAATAATATATCTGGTTTGTTTTTTTTGTTTTTAATGTTTAGTCACCAAATTTTTCTGTCTGTACTGAATGCACTTTTTTTTTGGACACTCTTGTCCTTATCAGCATTCAGATACTTTTCATATATAAAAGAATAAAAGCAAATGAAAAAATATTCAGAAATATTTAGTTGTTTCACTTTATACCTGTCATTATTTTCTAAGCATATTTCAGTGTGTCAGTGTTATGAAATAATTTGGTTCTGTACATCAGCTACATAAGCTTTTCAGAACACTTAATTTTTTTTGTTTGTATAATTTAAAATGTACTGGTTGTACACATTTAGGGGACTTAAGTCCTTCACCAAAGCTCTAGACGATTTGTTTGCATCCCATATTCTGGGTGTAGCAATTTATAAATCATGGGGTCCTTTTCATCTAACTGCAAAGATTTAACAATGTTGTTTTGAACATCATTATTGTCTGCAAATTTCACTGTCATAAAATGTAACAGCAGGATATTAATATCCCTGACATTTTTTTTTTCATTTTCACCAGGCATTTGATAATAATGTGTTGATTTAACCAAAATTAAAGAATTTCTCTGAATACATAGCTTGTAAAGATGGTTACATGTTTTATGTGCCATAATAAAATAATTACTTGTGTCCTGTTTTCTCTTTTGGAATTTTTCTAATATGTCTATTACAGAGTTGTAAAGTAACTAAGTACAAATACTTTGTTACTGTACTTAAGTAGAATTTCTGGGTATCTTTACTTGAGTAAATATTTTTCGGTCTACTTTTTACTTTTACGTTTTACATTTTCACACAATTATCTGTACTTTCTACTCCTTACATTTTTAAAAAAGGCAAGAATTTGAAAGTTGTTACTTTTATTTCATTTTTGCCTGTTTTTATTCCAGCTTATTATAAAAAATAAATACTATCCATATTAATTGTGCCTCCTAGATGGAGTGAATTTTATTGTGGTTGAATGAGAAGTATAAATATATAAAATTCTGATACTGTATTAGTTTGTACACAAACAAATCCTGTCACACTCCAGCAGGACATAATCATTAAAATGAAAGGACTGTATAGAAGTTTTTGTATTTCATGAATTATTACATTTGGCCGCAGCACAGATAGATTTTCATTTTGTGGAAAATGTTTGGGCCTCCTTGATACTGTATATGTATACAAACAAACAGCTAGACTGGTGCATCCTAAATTTAATATAAAGTAATTATTTTAATATGACAGTCATTTCTGCATTGTTTTGGGGGGGCAGGTCACCTCCTAATAAATGTCACTACGTTAAATGTAACTGCTCATTTTAAATCAATACTTTTACTTTTAATACTTAAAAAATATCAGATACTCTTACTTTTTAATACTTTTACTCAAGTAATATTCCTAAAGGAGACTTTAACTTTTACCAAAGTAATTTTTTGGTAAGATACTTGTACTTTTATTCAAGTATCGCTTTGTGGTACTTTATACAACACTGGTCTATTATAAAAAGGATAATTTTTTAACAGTACGTAAAAAATGAACAAAACAAATGCGCATGCGCAGTAGTGAAAAAACAAGCGCGTTGCGGTGATGGCGGTGGATAATGCTAGAAGAACTATGAGGCAAGTTGATGTAAAGTTTTTCTTAACATGTCGCTATTAGCATTTATCTTTTTAATTAGTTGCTTTAAGTTAATTTCAAACTTGTTATTTTTTTGTATAATTTAAGTTAGCTAACAAGTACGCTACGAATTGAAGCTAACAGTGGGCAGGTATTTATTTAGCACTGCAGCTAACGTTGTGCTTAGTCAAATTTATTAAATTATTTTAAGTATTTAAAGACTTAAATATGTTTTTTGTGAAACAATGTTAACATGTTCAGAATTTAGTGGAATCGTGGATGAAGCATTTTCTCAAATAAGATTTTAAAATGTGCCCATCCAAGGGATGGGAGTCCAGTCTTATATTTAGACACCSGTCCATTGGTCTATCTGTGGGCAGTTTCTTGTCTGAGCTTTAGTTTGATCACTCTTGAAGTGTCAAAGTGAATAGCGGGACACCTCACAGGTCAATGTTATGAGGTCAAAGGTCAAAGACCACAGGTGACCCCTTTATTTAAACCTATGCTCCAGCTTGACATCCCAGTAACCGAAATGTCAAACCTCTGTCAGCTTAAAGAAACCAGTTTTTACACATCTTTCCTGCTGTTTTGGTATTAAGTTGTCAAAATGTTTTGGGAAAAATCCAAGTGAAGTACGTGAACAAACCTTAGGAGTCCTTAGGATGAACCTCGTCATCCTTTCAGCAAGTTTTGTGTCACAGCAGGAACAAGTGGTTCTGTGTTTTATACCCCTAACCCCCTTACATCTCCCCCTCCCACTGATCTCTGTTCATCTGTTATTCAGCTAACAATAGAAGAGTCTCTTTCTCTCTTGAACAGTACTTTCAAGCCTCTCAATACCCTCATGACATACATAATCTGCCCTCATTCAACTTCTTAGCTATACCCTCTTAGAGAAAAAATAAAAACTCTACACATCTCAAACTCTTCTTTTATCCCCAAACTGAAGACATCGGGAATGCAACACAAATGTAATTTGCCTCTAGTGTGTGTGTGTGAATGTGTGTGTGTGTGTGTGTGTGTGTGTGTGTGTGTGTGTGTGTGTGTGTGTGTGTGTGTGTGTGT